AAGCAGTGGAAGACATGTTTCTTATTTGGTCAGTCTATCAGACATTAAACCATGTCACTCTTAGATTTCTCTCTGTGAACAAAGGATGTGAGCATGTGCTCATGTGTGCTGTGCACGCATACAGGTGTCCCTCACTCATGCTCGCATGGGTGGGGGGCGGGGGGACTCTCCAGTCTACTTTTTCTTGCTTTGTAATCTTGTTCCCTTGGTTACTTGGAGGGACCTTTAGCTTATATCTTAAAACAGCAAAACATCTGGCTGCAAAGTGGACACAGTTGTCAGGGGTCAGAAGCCCCGAGACACTGGTCCTGTGTTAGATGCCCAGGTGCTGTGCTCACATGTCCCCTTTGCAAGTGAGATGCTTGTTTCTCAACGAGGACACCGCCGGCCCCTCCTTTCATTGCCCAATCTGGATGCTGTCCTCGTCTCTCCACAGAGAAGTGAGAGGCCACTCGGAAGATTTGAGAGCAGAGTCTCAATGATGAGGAGCAGCTCGTGAGCTCCCACTGGGGATGTGCCCGCAACCCAGGTACATGCCCTTGACCGGAATCGAACCTGGGACCCTTCAGTCTGCAGGCCGACGCTCTATCCACTGAGCCAAACCGGTTTCGGCTCTGCTAGAAATTTTAAAATTGGAAATTGAAATCTTTAATTTTTTTAAATGACAATTACACTGGCTTGTTGGGGAGTGTGAGGTTGCGTATTACTGAATTCCATCAGCTCCTGAATAGTCACTGACAGTCTAACAGGGAGGAAGGCAGCCTGCTGAGGGACCATGAGCACCGGATGCAGGGGAGGGTCCCTTGGGTGGGAGCGGCGGGGAATGGGCTGGTGTCGTGAAGAGCCACCTGTTATATGTGGGTTACTGTCAAGTCTTAGCTCTTGTTTTGGGTGGTGAGTTAGTGAATGCTTATGCCATTATTACAAGTAAGTTAACGAAATAAAAGTAGGCTATGCATGGACCAGGGTGGAAGTATCTCATGAACAAGGATTAGGATTAATCCAATCCTGTGCACCTGGCCCAATGAAACAAAGTCAATAGAAAACAAGCCTATTCAAAGGATGGTCTGAGCTTTAGATTTTATAACATGCATGCTTTTTCCTTCTAGTTCTTTCCCCCGCACTACTCTTTTTACACACCCTTTTTCTTCTTCATTTCAAGGGTAGGTTCATAAAGGTTCAGGAATCGGGTTAACCCCCTGAGTGGGCACTGAAATCTCATCAGGGCAGAAGGAAGGTCTGGGCTGCCTTGTAGAAAGGGGACAGGGCATGAGCACTTGGACACAGCTGATGTGGGCACTGGGTGATGATCTTGTCCAAACTGGCTGGCGTTTTAGACTGGACAAGAAAGGGAGACCCTGTCAAGCAGATCACTGCTACTCTAAACCATGGTCCTCACACTCACATCTCCTGCTTCGGGGATACGGGCATTTTTTTATTTTGACATTGGTCTGCTCATCAGACATTCACTGTGCACCGAGCGAGATCCTCTTGTGTGCTCTGGGCCATGTGCTAGGCCCTCAGGGATACAGGACACATAGTGAGTGCCTTTTCTGGGTCACACATCATGCTAAGTGCTTGATACGTGTTCTCTCTCTTAACCCTCACAGCATCTTTCCTCTGCTGCTTTCCTTTGTTTGTGGCTCTGGCCCTGCCTGATCATATGTGTCAACTGTGCGGCAATGGGCAGGCTGCTCTTGGTTGAAATCCTAGCCTCCCCTCATTAAGTCTCAGGTTTCTCATTTGCCAAATGGGAATAAGAGCCCTATCTCATAATAAGCATTTATAACAAGTATTTTTTATTTCTGCCACATAGTAAATGTTCAGCAAATGGTCTCTATTATTATTCTTTTTCTTGACAGTGGGATCTGTAAATATAATTGCTCTGATATATTTCCATAGGGCCCAATACCCGATAACATGTTCAGTCCCTGCTTGTGAATGAAGGAATGTGTGCCCTTTGAGAATGAGAAACCCCGATCTACCACTCTTCTGGCTTCTTTCTTGTCAGCCCCACAGCGGCTCTGGAACACGGCTCCCACCCCTCTGGCCAGCACTTAACAGAAGCCTGGGCCCAGCACCATGGGGGGAAGGAAGGACCCTCTGGTCTCCTTGCTGACTCGCCCAAAGGAGAACCAGCACTCAACCACATTGCCTTCCTTTGCCACCCAGTACCTTCCCGGATGGTCCTAAGAACGTGGAGGCATCAGAAGCTCCTTCTCTTTGGGAATCAGGGCGTTGGACCAGCCTTCTCAGGAGGCAAGGACTGGGCACCAGCCAGAGACGGCAGTGACCCTGAGGTCACCGCACAGACGGGCTCTCATTCCTGGCTTTCATGCCCAGCCCGCACTACCTCTCCCCCAGACCCTGTCATTTCCTTTCAGGAGCGATGGAAACGGGCACAAGCTCCAGCGTGAAGGAAGGGGAGACAGGCACCCGGACTCCACATCACCTCCCACTCCAGTTCCTTCCTGCACAGGTCTTGTGGGCTGTGAGTCGACCTTTCACCTCCCTGCCTCACAAGCCCCACCCCTCCTGTCAATCACAGGATGAAGCACTCCTGGCGTGGCCCTGGACTGGGGATGGTGTCCTGGGCCCGAGGCCATGCACTGGCTCTGGGTCTTAGACAAGTCGCTTTTGCTCGTGGAGCCTCAGGACCCTCATCTGTAAAATGGGATACGCTCACCCCCTCAAAGGCCTGGTGTGAGGGTTAGCAATGATGTGTGCACCTACAAGATGATCTCAAAACTGTAGCTATTACCATCACTACTCCACACTCTCGGCTGAGGCAGGCGCCAGGCCTGGAGGGTCCCAGCCCGGGATTCTCTTGTCAGAATGCGCTAAAAATAAGTCTTTTCTCATCTCCTTAGCTTGGTCAGCAGACCCCAGAAAGCTGGCAGACCCCAGAAAATCTCTCCATGCCTGTACTGTGGGCACCCCCCATGGATTCCATGTCCAGGGAGCAATTTAAGAGGCAAACAAAACAGGAAAAGCTGCTCAGAATTAACAACGGGCCAGATGGTAATGCTAGTTTGAAGCAATAAAACATGATAAATAGCTTCCTGCGGCAACTCCTGATCAATTTCAATATTTAATAATTCCATTGCCACCCCACCCCCTCAGCTGGCCCCCTCCCCGGGATCCTGCCACCACTCCCCGCATTCAACTCACAGAGCAAACACTTTACTTTCTGAAGGCGTCAGCAAAAGCTGTCTGCTCAACTGTCACACGAGTGCCCTGGCCCCCGAGATGATAATTAATCTGCCTACCCTCCTGTTGCCAGGGAAGCTGCGAGGGACGCCCACTGTGGATTCGCACGGGAGCGCTCACCTTGTGGGTTCAACGAGTGTTGCTATTCCCTGAGGTCTGCTTCTGAATTAAAGCAAGGCTGGGAGCTGGTGGTCATCTTACTCTAGGACCCAGTAGTAGGACAAAGCAACCGAGAAGGGGACAGTGGCAGTGTGGAGTGAGGGCCTGACCCACCAGCTGTGCCTCTGAGCCTCAGTTTCCCTCTCTGTACAATGGAGATTGTAGACCCGTCTCCAGGAGGATTCTAGCCAGGGCTGCACATGTAAAGGGCCCGGCAGAGGGCGTGGCACGTAGGAAACACCCGACAATGGATGGGCAGCTGGGAGCATCATTATCTACTGTGAGGCCAATCAGCAAACGCAGCCTGAGCACCGACCTGCAGGAAGGGCCTGCTGGTCCCTGAGTCAGGAGGCTGCAGCCCAGGGCAGACCACAGGTGTGCGCTGGATCTGGCAGGGAGCACCTGCTGTCAGGCAGCGCACCCCAGATTCTCCCCAAGGGGTGCCTACTAACAAGATTAACTGCCAACAAGGGCTCCAAAGGCTTTCACGCCTCTGACACAGGAGGCCTCAGGCACCCGGAGAGCAGGCGTCGGCACCATTTACAGGAGAAGAAACGGGGATTAGGAGGTGAAATGGCTTTTCAAGTTTACATCCTAGAACAGGCAGAGTCAGTTCCAACCTGGATCTCCCAACCCCATTGCATGTCTTCACCACAAAATCACAGGAGAAAGTTGCTCCCAGGTGCCCCCTCCGCTGCGAGTCCCTTTCGGAGGGAAGCCGGTGCCAAGGGACCGGAGCTGCCAGGTGAGCTGAGCTGAGTTTACTCATCTGTGAAATGAGCCTGGTGATCCCTTCTGCACGGGGACACTTACTGAGGGGTCTGCATGAAAGCACTTTGTAACTTTGTGATGAGGGGTACCAATGTCAGGTATGGTTATTATGACTTTGTAGAAAAACATCCTTTATAAGGAAAAAGATCAGAAACTCATCCACCTAAAGGTGGATCCTTCTAACTGAAGCCTCGACGCCATGTAACCTGGAGGCTCAAGTGGAAACATCTGTGTGGCCTTCAAGGCCTCAGCAGCCCCTGCAACCCCACATCCTCCGCTTCTCCCCTCCCTTCTCGCTCCAGCCCACCTAAGCCACTTGGGGTTCCCAGAGCCTTTCACAGGCAGCACCCCTGCTGGAGGGGTTCTGTCCCACCCTGTGCATCGGCTGATGGCATCATGGCTCTCCCAGACGTCTCCTGTGGGTGTCCCTTACTAGGAGCGCCCCCTGGGTGCCCGAGAGCCTCTCTGTGCTTCCCGCCCACAGCACACATCCCACGGCACTAGTGTGTTCTCATCTGCCTCCCACTCGACAGCAAAGTTTTTCAGGGTGAGAACCAAGCGCTCTTCACTCTGGTCCATCCAGGGCCTGGCCCAGCATGTGCTTGGCGAGTGTGTGCAGAGGGAAGAATAAAAAAACAGGCGACAGAGTAGTCCCAGTATGAATGGAACCAAAGCCTTAAGCAAAAACAAGGGATTCTACTGGGGAATTAGAATTTGGGTGGGCACAGCCTTGTAGCAGACAGTGCCCCTGAACTCAAATTCAGCTCAATCCCTCACGCTGATGGAATAACCTTGACCCTGAAAGGAATAAAAATGTACTGAACTCCCACGGGACATGGTGGAGGCCAGTCACCAGGTACCTGAATCCCGCTGGTCCAGGGTCATGGAGTTCCATCTCCTTGTGATGTCGATGTAGAGGATGTCCACGGCGGCCATAGACAAGCTGCTGCTGCTCAGCTTGCAATTCCTGCAAAAGACGAGAAGGGACACGTCACTGCTGGGCCAAACCCGTCCTGTTCTGTCTTGCGTCCAGGCCTTTGCCTGGGCTGTGTTCCTACACGGTTTTCTCTAATGATCATATCAGGTGCCTGGATGAGACTGGTGCTCCTTATATGACAGGCCTTCCCTTCCCAGGGCTGGAGCTAAGGAAGGGTGCATGGCAGGGAATGGTGGGAGAGAAGGCTGGAAATGTAAGTTGAGATTAGATCATGTGGGCTCCTGTACTGGCTAATTAGGGTTTCAATGGGCTGCAAAGAGCAGTCATCTGTAATGAAGTGTGCCCACCTGTCCCTACACATCCATGTAGGTTTCTGTCTGCTCTGCAGAGGAAATGGGGACTCCACATTCCAAAACACACCCTACACGTGTCTTCCCCTTCCCCTCCGCTGTTCTCTGCAGAGGGAAGGGAAGCCGGGCCTGCAGTGCCGTGTTCTCCGGCCAGTGCCCCACAGCTGACAGAGGCACACTCAGTGACCATGATAACAGCGCGTCATCGGCACCTGTGCAGGTGTCACTGCTGTGCAGAAGTGACCCCCTCCCCCAGGAAACACTCACCAGGAAAGTCCTGGGGCCAAATCTGCAGACAGGGGCTCAAGGCCTCTGTGCTTGACCATCTCAGTCTGTCACCGGAGATTCTACCCGGCCCGAGTCAGCACTGTGAGCCCAGGACTCCCAGAGCAGAATGGCAAGGCTCCCCACACCGTGTTTGGGCTGAGGCAGCATCGCTGAGGACCCCTGATGCTCATTTCTGACTTTAGGGGAGTCACCTGAAAACACAGGAGGAGGGAGAGGGCAGGGCTCTGAGCTCCCCTAGTTTACGAGCAGAGAGGCCAAGAGAGCCAGGTTTTCAGTCTGATGTCAGCAATGGTGCGCCCTGCTGACAAGTCACAAGAGGGTGTTTGGAATCCTCCTCCTCCCCAATTGTGTCTTATTTGTTGTTGTTGTTTTTTTGGTCTGGAAATGTGAGGAGGCAGTCTGGCACACAAAAAAGAGCACGATTTGGGCATTCGACAGATCAGGATTGAAATCCTGCGACTTACTTAAACCTCCAAGCCTTTATTTGTTGGTCTCTAAATGAAGATAATAATACCCGCCCACATGGCTGATGTGAAGATGAGATGAGGAGCCGGCATGGTGCCTGGCACCTGGTTGGTCCATGACAACTCTTGGCTCCCTCTCCATCTCTTTCCCCTTTCTCCTCTCTTCCTCCTGAACTTGAGCCATCTCGGCCTGTGAGAGGTTGCCTACGGCTGACCTTGTGGTGAGTGGCCCTGTCCAGTCTGGAGAAATGCTGCTGGCCAGTCAATGTGTGGGTGCAGGGCTCGGCTCCCCTGGCCTGGCCTGTGCTGTGAGGAGATCCCAACACTGGCTGGATTTGCCTGACAACCCTGAAAGTGAGACCTCTGGGATAGCTGTCCATTGGCTGAACTACATTCAATGCTGCTTTCAACTTTCCAAACACGTCCACATCCATCGCCCCCCAGCTAATGATAAAATGGTTCTTTGCGCTTCCATTTGTCATCATCCCTTGTGTGAATATCTTCCTTAGGAACCCGACAGGCCAGGGGTTGACTGGCAAGCAGGATTTGGGCATTTCAGAGGCCCCTCTCCAAACCCACGCACATCCCTAACAAGGGTGCCGGAAGTGTGCCGGCAGGAGCGTGGACGAGGCTGGTGCTCCTTATATGCTAGTACACTCTCTGGCTTCACCCCCCTACCTTCCTTTCTTCCCCGCCAGCCCTGTGCATATTCCTTAAGCCATCAATTCACATCCTGCTTCCTCCTGGGCTGGCTCCATATTTCAATCACCAGTCACGGTGGCAGACTTCAAAGCACATCAGTGCACAGTTATTGAGTCCCAGTAACAACATGTCAGCGGACGCTGAGCTTGTCACATCCCCGGTCACCATGATGACTATCTCTATGGGGTTCCCTGGGGCGGGGCTCGTCTCTCCCCAGGTATTCCAACGCCCTGCACCGCTCCCTCCCAAAGCTTCATCAGGAAGGGAGTGGCCATGGTTTTCTCTAATTATCATATCCTTGTCCTCTGGGCTCCCTGCTCCCCCCAGGACAGGAGCGCTGCTGCTTGCTCTGTGGGTTAATAGAGTATAAAGAGTGAAACCGAACTGACCGCTGGTATGTAGTTATTTTTTTCCCTGACAGGTGGAAAATAGAAGTGTCGAACCTTTAGCAGGAGCCGTAATTTACCAAAAAGAATTCTCCACTTATCCCTTTTCCAAGGAAACTCATTCTCCCGGGTGATGCCGGCAAGTACAGTTGATCGCAACATCTGCTGCGGGGACGGGAGGAATCCATGCTGGCTGCAGCGGGCAGGAAATGCTTTAAAAGGATTTGGATTCTGTAGGCAGTTTTGGGGGCACCATCTGCATGCCAGGCCTTTTCCTGCCCATTAGCTCTCTGGATCTTTACAACTGCTCTACGAGGGAAGTATTCTTAGTCCCATTTCAGTGATGGGTAAGCTGAGACTCAGCCCGAAATTACACAGCTGGAATTCACATCAAGTCGTCCTCTGGAGAATAGGGTGGCCGACTTGGGAGCTTTGGGGAGATGTGGGGAGGTGGCCCAGCCCTGGGCCCCAGGAAGAACCCAGGATGCAAGACACAAAGTCTCCGGGGGCCCCAGGAAATCAGGAGACGGTAGAGAGCCCCTGCTGGGAATCTTTGGGATATAAGGCTGGGACAATGACAGGGTCACTGGAATACAGGTTCTCCCAGATTTGTCTCTGTGGTTATAACATTCTCAATAGACATTCCAAAAGGGAAGGACTCTGGGGTTCAAGACGTTAGAATTAATTTTCATCCATCCATCCACTCAATGCAGAATTTATTTTGTGTCCACTACATCAGGCAGTATTCTGGGCCCAGGAAGTGATGCAAAGCAGAATCAGTCTCAGGTACCACTCTTGGAAGTGAAAGTGACCTCGGAGCCTGGGGTAAAAATGTGAAGCCTTGGTAGCCCTGAATCCTTCAGACAGTTTCCCTTAATGTCCTGGGATGCAGTTCTTCAAATGTCTAAAGCAGGGGTCCTCAAACTTTTTAAACAGGGGGCCAGTTCACTGTCCCTCAGACCGTTGGAGGGCCGGACTATAGTTTAAAAAAAAACAACTATGAACAAATTCCTATGCACACTGCACATATCTTATTTTGAAGTAAAAAAACAAAACGGGAACGAATACAATATTTGTATTTGCATGTGGCCCGCGGGCCATAGTTTGAGGACCCCTGGTCTAAAGGATAAATTCTTCAGTAAAAGAGGAGTCCAATCAATATGGTACCATGAGAAGCCAGAAAAACTCCTAAGATGGGCTAGCAATGTACATGGGAAAATTGAGCTGTGGAGTCAAACGCACAGGATCCTGAACCTTGAACTTGCTGTGTGACCTTGAGTAAGTCACTGACACTCTCTGCATCTAAATTTCCTTATTTGTACAAAAATCAGGCTACTCACCATACGAAATTGTTTTGAGGACTAGCTCAGTGCCTGGAACATGTGGGGAAGTGACAAATACTCCCAGCCTTCCTCCATGATGCAGAACCAGCTTGAAGAAATGTTTTGTTTTTAGAATCAAAGGAATTTGGGCACAGATGATGGGAGAGAATCACAAATCATTCAAGTTCATTAGGATCCCAAATATAGAAGGATTTGAAATGATCATCCCCATTTCCTTTCAACAACTACCAACATCTCATGGGAAATTTAGACGCCAACTTTTTCCACTCCATAAAATCCTATTTATAGAATTTCTTTTGTGTTCATCCTTCTCTGTGCAGAGAGGGAGCTTATTTTTATCTGGAGACGTGCCTATAAGGTGAAAACTAACAAATGATCAATATTGGTTTTAAAAAACACAAGCCACTATCTAAACACCTAGGGGGCGAGGGGAAGCAACTCCGGTTAATAATGCATATAGCATATTAAAGGCTAGTGCAACCCCAGAAAGAGGTCATCAGGGAAGAGGGGGATTTTCAAAGTCACGGAGGAGTTAATGCCAGAGGAGAGGCAAGACCCCTTACACTTCCCTTCTAGAACATTCTAACACACCATGTTGCCTCTCAAAAAATAACACCCCCCCCCCACTCCACATCTACCCATTATGAAGCCTATTAATATCTCCTTTTGAGAGAAGGGGGCAGAATGGGAAAAAGAGAAAATCATTTTCTAATTTAAAAGGAGACCAGGATCAGAGACCACGGAGGGATGAGCGGGGATCTCCAAGGAGGAGAGTCTGCACGAAGCAAAAATGCTCAGGGTGTGGGGCAGACGCCTCCATTGTCTAGAAACCAACCCAGTTGCGGCAAACTGTTTAGTTCTCAGGCTCCGGAGATGGCAATGCAGTGTGTGGGAACTGATGTCAAATCCTGATGGAGGACACGCTCGGAAACCGTGTTCTTAGTGAATTACACAGGACGCCCCCAAATTAGCAATCCAGGCGCAGGAAAACAACACAAATGCATTTCTCTCAGAGGAAGCTGTCACACTGAGGAGCCAGATCATTTCTGTTTCTCAGAGAAAGAGAAGTCTCCACACCCCAGCAATTATTATGAAATAATAATAAAGAGGAGACAGAGAAAGAGGCACTTAATTCATGGTAATTTGTGCTACTCTTATGTGCCTCCCGAGGAGATGACAGGAAAAGCTGGTTAGACAGTTAAGTCTAGACAAGAGAACGACAGTTCGTTATTCCTCATTTCCTGGTGGAAGAGAAAAATAGGACATGGCCGGACCGGCATTAGCATAACTCACTCCTGAAACTGCTGATCTGTGCAGCACACTGTGAGCGATGGTCACTGGAAATAAATTCAGCCGGAATGTTGGCTATTTTGTTCCCTCCAGTTCTCTTCGAGGAATGTGGAGAGAGAGTGGTGGTAGCGATGAAAGCCAAGGACAGCCTCTGCCCTGTGTGGGCTCTGAACGGAGGCTCCGTCTGTCCGGCCGACGTGTGTGTTTCCCGAGCAGTGCTCCAGAGAAGTCACTTGGTTCAATGTGACATAAGGCATAAATACTATTAATTTATAACGAAGCGAATTTTAAATGAAGTGCAAAGGAGAGAGGGAGAATAGTTGTTAGCAAGAGAAAATGCTTGTTGTTAAATTTAGCTGGCAAGGCCGAACATACTCAGATAAACCTGAAAGCAGAGGGTATTGTCTTTTATGATTAAATTGCTGTTGGGATCTCTTGGTACATTTTAAAAAGGAAAAATCTATTAACAGCCGTGCAACGTTTTCTCTATTTCTTCCTGTATCTTAATTACTCAGGACATTTGCTGCCGGGTGTGTGTGTGTGTGTGTGTGTGTGTGTGTGTCGGGGGTTTGGGGGGGCTCACTGTCTGAGCCCGTCTGCTCTGCTGCCACCATCCCACTGCAGACATCGCCGTCCCACTGCAGACATTGCTACCCCACTGCAGATTATTATGATTAGACCCCTTTGGAAAGGGGTCTAATTCATTTGGCAGAGGCCTTCTGCACATCGCCACTCACTGCAGACATCGCCACCCACTGCAGACATCGCCATCCCCTGCAGACATCACCACCCACTGCAGACATCGCCATCCCACTGCAGACGTCGCCACCCCACTGCAGACATCGCCACCCCACTGCAGACATCGCCACCCCACTGCAGACATCGCCATCCCACTGCAGACGTCGCCATCCCACTGCAGACATCGCCATTCCCTGCAGACATCGCCACCCCACTGCAGACATCGCCACCCCACTGCAGACATCGCCACCCCACTGCAGACATCGCCGTCCCCTGCAGACATCGCCATCCCACTGCAGACATCGCCATCCCACTGCAGACATCGCCATCCCACTGCAGACATCGCCATTCCCTGCAGACATCGCCACCCACTGCAGACATCGCCATCCCCTGCAGACATCGCCACCCACTGCAGACATCGCCACCCCACTGCAGACATCGCCACCCACTGCAGACATCGCCATTCCCTGCAGACATCGCCACCCACTGCAGACATCGCCATCCCCTGCAGACATTGTGCTCCCTTCTCACGGTTGCTGTCCTCCCTCTAACACACACTAACACAGATGGGGAATGATGGCTGCAGGACCTAACAGTCTCTAACATCACAAAATCATTTTTTCATGCAAATGCCCTTAATTATAGAGAACAAAGGGATGGAAAAGCAGAAAGCTGATCACGCAGAGACAGATTTGTAGCGATATTTCTGACATCACCCAGTTCTAGTCTGAGCGCATTGTAGGAATCTTCTCGGCGAGAACCATTCCCCGTTGCTTTTTTTTCAGGGCAGTGTGTGGACACAGCAGTCCTCTTACTGTGCTCCTGGCTTCTCACACCGGAGCTCACACGCCCGTGCTCTCGATGGCAGCCACGCTTTCACTGAACCCCCATAGGGTTTAAAAGTTATTTTCTGAATGGCCAACATTGATACACGTATATTGGGATTCTACACAGAAACCAGCAGTTCTAGTTTCTCCTGAAAAATCACAAGCTGGGGCTGCTAGCCCAGCTCTCCTCCCCGCAGTGCACTCCAGGCTCCAGGTCGCCCGCCCTCCTTCTCCAGATCAGTCACTGCGTCTGGGTGGCTTCCCGCCTGCTCCTGGGGGCACCGGAGAGTGTGATTCCTATGGTTCACTAGCTTTTCTAACCCCCCTCGCTCTTCCCTTTTAGTAGAATTTTATTAGGAATAAAAAGGACGCATTCAGTTTCCACCATCAATTTAGCCTGATGATCAACCTTTCCTCGTTTCTGAACATGAGCCACTCATGAACGCCATTCTCAGGCTCTCCCCGCTGCCTGGACGGGGTAGCCCTCCTTCACTCGCAGGCAAACTTGGGCTTATAACAGTCCAAACCTGCCTCCTCTGGGCCTGCCTTGATTCCACCAGGCAGAGGAAGGGTCCCCTCTTCTGTCCCTTCTTCTGTCTGCTACCCCATGGCTCTGCCAAGGATTGCATTTAATGACTCGTTCCTGTGTGCTGTCTGTTAGACTGAGAATCCCCTGAGGGTAGGTGGGGCTCCATTATTTATCTCTGATTGCCCTATGGCTACTGGGTGCTCGGGAGAAGTTGTTAGGTCAAACCACACACTGTCCTTTCCCACACGAGGCTGAGACAGAGCAGGCCTCCCAGGGCCAGGTCCCCTCAGCACCCAGGCTGTTGTCCACATAAAGCCGAGCCATTCCTCACTCTTTTTAAAAAATATATATATTTTATTGATTTTTTACAGAGAAGAAGGGAGAGGGATAGAGAGTTAGAAAGATTGATGAGAGAGAAACATCGATCAGCTGCCTCCTACACACCTCCTACTGGGGATGTGCCTGCAACCAAGGTACATGCCCTTGACCAGAATCGAACCTGGGACCTTTCAGTCCGCAGGCCGACGCTCTATCCACTGAGCCAAACCAGTTAGGGCCCTCCCTCACTCTTGTGGGTCTTGAGTGGACCCTTCTGTGCAATGGCACAGGGGCCGGGAAGGGCCCAGGAAGCTCCTGCCTTTGCTCTGGAAGGTCTGAGTCCCCGGACGTGTCATGCTGAGAGAAGACTGCGCACCCTCATCACTCCCCTCTGTCCCTGCACATGTCCACGGCACCTCAAGAGCCCTCATGACTCGGGGCCCCTGTCACTGAGCTGTTTCCCTATGTCCCAGGCCACAGCAATCACAAAGGGGCAGAGAACGTTTACCTATTTTTCTCCTCTTCCTTGTTGTCGTCACTGTATTAGGACAGCAATATATACAGAACAATTTATTTCCCAGCTTCCCATGCAGATGGCAGTGGCCAAGAAGATAGATGAAATGGGAGTCATTGAATACAGCTTCTGGAAAGCTTTGGAAAGGGGTCTAATTCATTTGGCAGAGGCCTTCTGCACATCCTCCTTTCTTCTTCCTTCCTGCCTGGAACTTGGCCATGATGGCTAGATTTTGAGCAGCCACCTTATGAACACAAGGCAACTCTGAAGCTAGAAGCTCATGCTGAGGATGGATGAGCAGAAAGACAGAAAGTGGAGTGCTGACCACTTTGTGGAGTCATTAACCAGTCCTAGAACCCCCACTGCCAAACTTCCTGTTATACGACAGAAACGAATCGCACTATCTAAACCATTTAAAGGTGGGTATCCATTACTGCACATCAAATGAAATTCCTAAGTGAGTCAGAGGGTGTTGTTATTTTCTCAGGGAAATAACAACATGTGTCTGTTGACTTTCTTGAAATTTCAACTGCCTACTAGAAATAATAATCAGACTCCCATTTAACAAACAGCTCCCCTGAACTAGGCACTGGGCCAGGTGTTTTATGATATATTATATTCCAACCTCATGATAACCTTGCAAGGCAGGTGTTCCCATTTTACCGATGAGACCCAGAGGAGACAAGCGACTTGCCCAAAGCCACACAGTAATGCACTTGGCTTTGAAGCCAGACCCCAAAGCCTGTGCTCGTCCACTAGCTTTCTTTTTGCCCCTGAAACCAACACAAAGCCCTTCTCAAAATCACCGAGCAAATACTACTTCAGGGTTACTGAAATGGCAAAAATTCCGCTGATACTGCCGTTTACCATTCTATCAGAAACATCAGAGTTAGAGTTAGAGTTTGAAAATTCCCTTAGAGAAAACTGGGACAAAAATGGTTCCTCAGTCAAAACTTCTAATTATTTGCTTTAGTGAATAAACCATGAAGTGTGTGACTTTGAGGAGCAAGGTAGAGATAGTAAAACCAACGATGAGAAAAACAACAGTAGTATCAATGCTGACAGTTTGTCTGAGGTGTACAACACACTATGCTGGGGTACAGGGAGCTTCACCCCATTTGATAGGTCCATCGAGGTTCAGAAATGGTCATTAATTTGCCCAAGGGTTACACAGCTAGTACGTGCTCCCGTATTGCCCCCATGTGTCCCAGGTAAGAAGCAAATGATGAATAATCTACAGAGATTAAGTGGCAAGGGCTTATTTTGTAGGTGTCAGCAAAAATCTAGTTTTATCTTGAAAATCATGCAAAATTTGTATTATGCTCTATAATATAACCTTGTTATCTTTATAGTAGAGCAAATGTGTTAAATTATTTATTGACTGAATTATTTAACTTTTCTCTCCCGAAACTGACACTTTGGAAAGATGTGCCTTGTCTCTGGCTGTGGCTTCATAAACGCTCCCCGCGCAGCCACATGCTGCTGGGAGAACATCAGCCCAGTTCAGGAAGCCCAGGTCTGTCTGAGTCCAGGGGGGAATTACTTATATGTGGTTTAAAGACCTAGTTCAAGGTAGCACAGAATTGTTTTTTAACCACAACATAAGGTTGTGAATGCTGACACACTCATAATATCCATTCATTCATTCAACAAAGAAGACACTGGTCAGATCCAACCGTAGGGGGGCCCTGACCCAGGACCACAGCCCCCTGCCCCCAGCAGCAGTAGGGCAGATGGGATTGGCCAGAAGTGGGGCTGGACCCTACCCTGCCCGCAGCCCAGGTCAGAAGGGCCGGTCTCACTGACCTTATGAAGGTACGGAAGCCTGTTGGTCCTAACTTCATTGTCCCCTTGATTCCCAGGAACCGGATAAACAAGTTTGCCATCCTGTCCACCAGGCGCAGGTAGTTGAACTGCTTGGCATACTTGGGGAACACCTGCTTGAGGCAGATGGAGGGCAGGTGGGCTTCAGGTTTGGTGTTGCCTTCCGAGGCGATGGCCAGATCATTGTCGGAAGGATCTTCCTTTCCGGCTGGTGGGTTCTCCAGCTGCTGAGACCTGAAGCACACAAGGGATTAAAAATTGAACCAACTGGAGTGGACTTTACAGCACAGAGAGACTTTCTCTTGCACAATCTCCTTTCCTTTAGAGTTACAGCAACCTCGGGAGGTGGGTATTGTCACCATTTTTACTGTACAGACCAGAGAACTGACTTCAGAGAAGCGACCTGCCCACACTCACAGAGCCAGTCCATGCCAAAGCCAGGATTCAGACCCAGGACAGGGCCTGCCCTGGAAACTTACGCTTCTCCCATCCTACCATCCTGGTTTCCCAACAGGACAACTTCCTTAACTATATGTACTCAGGATTCAAGAGAATACTCTTTATTATGGAACCGTCTGGATTTGATTTTTAAACTCCTACTTATGGGTAGTAATTGAATAATTAAGAAATATAAAAATCTCATTGAGGGTTGGCAAGAAGCCATAGGCACGGTTAAGTGAACAATTTGCAAAGATACATCAGTTATCTGTTTCTAGGAATAGGCACAATTATATTTTCGGGCTTAACTATTTTCTTATTTGGAACTCATACAAAAAATGGTTATATTGCTGTGATTCCGTAGTCAGGATGTTTTATGAAATTATTCTGATATTCAAGAAAATTCAACAGTGTTCTGGGGACACAAATGCTCCGTAAAGGGGAGCCGCCCGGGTTCCCAGGGGGTGCAACTTTCCGGCAGCCAAACTGGCTTCATCCTCATCTCCTTCAACTGGAGGCAGGAAGTAAAAGTCAGGTGGTTCCTTCTCAGATGAAATGAAATGCTCTCCTATTAAGGTTATCGGAAGAAAGATGAGAAAAAGCAAGCAGCACTGTTGATGGAAGTTAGCGCCTAAGTTACTGGATAAGTGGTAAGCACCGACTTTATACGCACTCATTAAGTTGATTTAAAGGGAAGATTCGGAAATGTACGGTGTGAATACACTTAGTGACCAGGAAAACAGCTCAGAAAACGTGTCAATCGACACAACTGTCCCACCTGCACGATCTCGTGTCCTCTTCACGCAGCCCTGTGAGGTAGTCTGTGATTATCATACCCCTGTTCCAGATGGAGACACTGAGGCGCAGCAGGGTGGGGCACCTCTGCACCCTGGCTGGCCCCGAGTCATAAACCCTGCTTCTCACCAGTGCTCACTCCATTTTGCCATCATTACTCTGCAGCACATCACATGCACGTCGGGGCTTACAACACCCTAAGTACTGCTATTTATTGTTTGCTTTAAATCGTTTTTATGGGCTCTAATAGTAATTCATGCCCTTTGTAGACAACTTGAGAAATGTATTACGGAATCAAAACCATTTGTAACCCCACGAGTCAGGGATGAACTGTGTTAACGTTTTGATTTATCTGTAAAGTTAGGAACACATGACACACAGTTAAAATCCTTCTTCTTGCACACTGTAAGTATCTTCCCGTGGCACTGAACATGTTTTCAGGAGCTCAATTTCTCATGGACACGCAATGTTTCGTAGTGTGCCTGAACCATCACTGAATTAAGGAGTGAGTGTCTGCAGGGCCTGTCTTTGACTAAACAGTCAGGTGACCTAAGTGATGTGCTCCCTCAGAAACAACACGTGTGACTAGATGCAGCCTTGGTGTCATTCTGTCCAATGACATCATCAATTTCCTTTTATTATGGTCTAATGTACATAACATGCACTCGCCATTTTTAAGTATTTGAAGTGTATGACCCTATGGCATCCAGTACCTTCATAATGTTGTACAACCCTCTCTAGTTCCAGAACAGTCTCACAATGATGTCATTTTAGAGAAGAAACCTTAATCCTAGGGAGACATCAATACCAACGGGCCATTTAATCAGCAGGCCCTCCAGCGTGGTGGCCTTAGCTCGGTTGTCCTGGTGATGGGGACTTCTCAGGTCTTCCCGATGGCATGTCAGAGGATGTCTCCCTCCAGGGTCCACAGCCTGCGTCCCACCTGCCCCCAGAGCCTTTCATGTTTCTCTCAAGGGCCGCAGCATGCACCGGATGGATGACCACCATTCCCTTCCTTCTGCATCCCAATTAACAACCTCAAGATGAAAAGGGCCTTCCAAGCCACAGATGCCATTTTCCTGGACTCAAAACCACAGATTCAGGAGGAAAGGGTTTTACTCGACTGGAAGAAGGTAGTAAAGATATAGCTGATATATAAGAGGAAATAAAACAATGAGGAATAGTATCTCTGCTGGAGATAATTTCAGTTATCACATTGAGATCCAGGTTATCACAAATACTATAAAATCTTGTTTTTACTTAACAGCACTTTAATGGAAATGTCGGGCTTATGAAATAGAAGTGACTAGTAAAAAATATAAATCAAGCTTACTAGTCCGTTGGGCAGTTTTTTAAAATTGAATTTGGTGTATCCTTGATTCATTAAAATAGGGGAAAGCATCCCAGAATGGTTTATTATCGTTTTTCAATAAAATGGAATTATTTTTATTAAAACTCTTGTGAAAAAACACCTAATCTCTATTTTGCCTGGCAAGCAACTGTCAAAAATCACCAGTATTTACTGGGAACCTGCTACATATATTTCAAGCATTGTGCCAAGCAACATATCATTTCATTTGCCCCTCATAACAATTCTAAGAGGTAGGTAGAAACTGTTCCCATTTCACAGATTAGGAATCTGATGCCCAGACAACCTGAATATATGCCCAACATCACAAATCAATAGTGGAATCAGAAGTTATACTCAGGACTGTCTCACTAAACACTCTATGTTTAGTTCACTATATAATTCTTATGCTAATAATTTGATTGAAATCAAACCAAAGACTTTTCTTCTTCTGTATAAGCTGTGTATATTCCCAGAAATTAACAACAGAGAAAGGCAGACAAAGCAAGGAAAAGTTGCCGATTCAGGAAAGGCGCTCGAATTCTCTCAGAGAAATACTTTCCATTTTTAGTTAAGCATCCCTTCGACAATTTATTCATTCATGAACCACTTCCCAAGCACTTACCTGTCCCTGGGGCCTGGGACACATAGGCGAGGTGCACACAGTCCAGAAGCACTTGACCCAGTGGGGAAAGACAAGCCCCATCCATTGCAATCACTGAGGAGGTGGAGGTGGCCACGTGAGTGTCCAGAGTTGGGGCCCAGAGCATGTGGAAAGAGCAGGTTTGCTGGGTCTCGGCAGGAGGCGGTATGCCTGAAGAGAAACAGGTGGGCATATGACCTGAAAGCCCATGTGGGCCTGGGTCTTATGGGATCTGGAATGTCAGACAAGGGGGCTTGGATTTGGTGGGTTTTAGGGAGAGAAGTGCGGTGATGACGAAGGAGTCTATCAGGGATGGTCCCTGATTGGGGATGGATGATGCCAGGAAGCTACTGGAACATCCAAGCCAATGATTCTGAAAGCACGGTCAGTCCCTGAAGCAGCAGCATCAGCACCACCCGGGGGCTTGTTGGAAATGCACATTCTTGGCTCCACCCCAGACCTGTGGACTCAGAACCTGTGAACGAGCGGGCAATCTGTTTTAGGAAGCCCTGACCTGATGCTGATGCCGGCTGAAGTCTAGCTGAAAGATGACTGTAACTGCTTGACCATGGGGGACAGAATGGCCTGGCTCCTGGTCCCGGCGATCCTGTGATCCAGCAGGAGAGCCTGGTGGGCAGTGGCGCTGCACTGGCCAAGGGAGGTAAGCGGGCTTCCTCCCCTATAATTTGCCTGAGACCTGTCCCCCCAGTCACTTGGAATTTCAAATGCACGTTGGCATTCTTGAGGAAACTGCTAGCTATGTGCGGCAGAAGTCCCTTAAATTAGCCCAGCAGCTAATTTAAAGAGTTGGAGGATGAAGGCACTAAAAATAAACATAACTACCATGTCGCCCAGCTCTGTCACTTGATAAATGTCTGCCATCACAGAGGCCCCATTTGCTTGATGGTGATGCTATGCTATTTGAAGAGAAGGCGACAGACTACAGAATGGGTGAAGCATGTGTTTCCAAACTGATGAGGAAAAAGTCTGAATGAGAGCTCTTTGTCTGATGTTCAAGTCCCTAGAAGACCTAGACCAGTGATGGCGAACCTTTTGAGCTCGGCGTGTCAGCATTTTGAAAAACCCTAACTTAACTCTGGTGCCGTGTCACATATAGAAATTTTTTGATATGTGCAACCATAGTAAAACAAAGACTTATATTTTTGATATTTATTTTATATATTTAAATGCCATTTAACAAAGAAAAATCAACCAAAAAAAATGAGTTCGCGTGTCACCTCTGACACGCGTGTCATAGGTTCGCCATCACTGACCTAGACCCACACTGGGTCTGTTCCCACCTGCTCCCCTTCATCCGCCGGCCTCTGAACGCTTGCCTGGCCACTTCCACCTCACTTGTCCACTTTCTTCCATAGCATCGTGTAACGCCAACAGCGACACACAGTGTTAACTGTACTGGTAGCACCTACTATGTGCCAGGAACTGTCATTAAAAACAATTAATCTTACAAAATCCTATGAAGTGGAGTTATCATCACTCCCATTTTACAGATGAGGAAACCAAGGCACAAAGATACCAACTAAACAAATTGTGGATCAGGGACAGAAACCCAGGAGGCAGAGTTCCTTATTTCTAACTACTGCACGATGCTGCTTCCATGCACGGGAGTAACCAGGCACTGAGCACCCGAGGGCCAGGTGGGTTACTTGTCACATCTCCTTTGACCCTGGCAATGAGCCTATAGATTAGGTACTATAAGTGGCCCCATTGGCCCTATTTCTCCTGATGAGAAAAAAATCAGCTTCAGAGAGGTTAAACCACTTTCTAAAGGCTACTCTGCTATTAAATGGCTGAGAATGAGGATTTGAGCCTGGATCTATTTGAGTTCAAAGCCCAGATGCTTTCCACTCTATCACGCTGCAACTCATCCTGGTTACACAACTTCTCTGAACTCCTCTTCTCCTCCCCTACAGAAGTCTCTGACTTACAGGGTGGTGTGAGGCTTACCAGGGAGAGTGGCTGGGAGGGTGCTGAGCCTAAGCCTGGCAC